TATTGGAGACCTTAGTGGCAGGACGATCAAACTCGCTACGGATAGATCGAGCAGGTTAACGGATTCATTTGATTTGGTTTTGTGCTATTTGTGCCTCGGACCTCAGTGGCAGGTCGATCGAATTCACTACGGATAGCTCGAGCAGACCTCAGTGGCAGGTCGATGATTTCTACTTGGTTTTGTTTGATCTAGTTTTATTGCATATCGAGATGGAGCTCATTACAGATAGCTCGAGCAGGTTAATGGTTTTATTCGATTTGGTTTCGTGGTATTTGACGTTTTCGATCTCAGTGGCAGGTCGACGATTTTATTTGACTCTGGTTGCGTCAAATTGATTTTTCGACTTAAAGGGGTGGTAGTATATTCATTTTTGCTCGAGCAGCTTGTGGATGATTCTGGTTTATCGAAATTGTTTTTCGACCCCAGTGGCGGGTCAGGTATATTCGTTTTTTCTCGAGCAGGTTGTTTGATGATTCTGGTTTATCGAAATTGTTTTTCGACCCCAGTGGCGGGTCAGTTATATTAATTTTTGCTCGAGCAAGTTGTTTGTTGATTCTAGTTTTATCGAAATTATTTTTCGACATCAGTGGCGGGTCGAGTATATTCGTTTTTGCTCGAGCAGGTTATTTGTTGATCATGGTTTGTCGAATTCATTTTTCGATCCCAGTGGCGGGTTAGGTATATTCAATTTTGCTCGAGTAGGTTGTTTGTTGATTCTAGTTTTATCGAATTCATTTTTCGATCCCAGTGGCGGGTCAGGTATATTCAATTTTGCTCGAGCAGGTTTTTTGTTGATTCTAGTTTTATCAAAATTATTTTTAGACATAAATATGACTAGATACATAGCAAAATGGATGAATCAGTAAAGTCAAAACGACACTTATTTTAAAAAGGAGGGAGTAATATATTACTATGTTACTATATTATATTATTTTATATAGTAATACTTTATATGATCTATGTTATAACATATTGTAATATATTAGAACATATATTATATTATTTGATCTATGTTGTAATATAACGTATATGTTATATTACAAAATTGATTAACATGTTATATTATATAATATATGTTATATAATAGTATATAGTAACATATTATATAATATACTATAATTTGCACAAAAATAAACGCAAGGTGTCTGGCGGCACAATGGTACGAGGTGCGCCCAGAGAAACCGGACTCGTCCAGAGACCTGGGTTCGAGTCCTCAATCTTGGATCTTCGTATCATTTTTTTATTTTTAGAAACCGTATTTCTTAAATACGGTTTACAATTAAATCTTTTGTAAACCGTATTCCCTGAATACGGTTTCCTTATAAGTACAAAAAAAAACTCCTTATTTCTCTACGCGAACAAACAGAGAGACAGAGAGCGAGAGCAAGAGAGAGCAGAGAAGAGCGAAGCTTCGATTGGAAAAAAAAAAAGAGCACCGCCGCGCGCCGTCACTGCCGCCGCACCGCATATTGCCGCCGTCTCGTTACCGTCAATAAGGTACATTTGTTCAGTTAGGACTTCAATTTTTACCAATTTTCAATCATTTTCGAATTAGGGTATTTTTGAATAATGAATATCTTGTTTGATGGAAATGACATATGTTGATGGAATTGTTGAATATGTTTGTATGTTAAATTTATGGGTTATTTGGAATATGATTAGGGTGTGTAATTTGTTTGAGAATATATGATTTGAAGGTGTTTGATAAAATGCCTCAAAGGGGTTCTTTAGTTTGAGCTTCTTTGCTTGTGTTATTGGCTTTGTTGTTACATATTTGTGAATTTGTGATGATTGTGATGGGGTGAAGAGGTGTTGAAGGTGGATTTGTGAATTTTTTAATATATTAAATTATTGTTTTAATTTTAGAGAAGAGGTTTAAGTTTGAAACTCTAATGTTGTTGAAAATGTGAAATTGTGAACTATTGTGTGAACTTTGATTTTTCAGAATTACGACTCCAATTAGAACTTCAAATTGTGAAATGTTTTTGTTAATGTTATTAGCATCTAAATTGTAAACAATATATTACTATTGTTCTTGATCAATATTGCATAATAAATAACTTTAATCATAATCTATTTTTTTTTTCTATTATTTGTAGATAAATGGCTTCATCGTCCTCCTCACAGCCTCAGCAGTACAGTGTGCATCCCGGTCCGAGGGATGAGAGTCTTCTATATCTCCAGTACAAACATCGGGCACAAGTGGTATTTGATAATGTGTCGGGAGCTCGTGACACGACGTTCACAAACCGTCGTTTTGACACTCAGTTCTGGAAGGCAGTGCCAATGCAGACACTGTCGGTTTGGAGGGCCATCGACCGGACTGGTTTTGGCCCCATGTTTCGAATGGGTCGAGTCCAAGCCGACAACGCCCTCATCACTGCTCTCGTGGAGAGGTGGCGCCCAGAGACGAATACGTTTTATTTCGATTTCGGCTATCACTCTCCAGGACGTACAAGTCCTGTTCGGTCTGCCAATCAATGGAGCTACTGTTTTGGGAGTCACTCTAGAGCTATCACCCCTATAGTGGCGAGAGAGGTGAAAGGACTTGCTAGGGTTTCAGCCCTACGTTCAGGTATACTTTTTCATAATTTTTTTTTAAAAAATATATGTCAACTCAATTTTATCAATTTTTAATATGGAAAAACCACTCTCAGGATCCTCCCGCCAACGAGACAGAGCAAGCAACATAGGACCCTAGCAAGTGGGACATTAAAGGCCAGTGGTTGCAAGACTGAGTTGCAAGAAGGACTACCGGACATCGTGTACGAGCAGAGGGCGAGGGCCCTTATCTTGTGGTACATTGGGTCCTTCATCTTCCCCGATCAGCGAGCGGATGGCGTCTCACTTTATTGGCTCCAGTTGTTAGAGGACTTCGATGGTATTAAGGGGTACAACTGGGGTTCAGCGCCCTTGGCTGGAGTATACAGAGCGTTGGCGACCTCGTCCATGGCCGAAGAGAAGTGGATCAAGAACTGCGTTCAATTGATCCAGACAAATTTATTTAATTATTATTTGAAAATTTAATATTTTATTTTTCTTACTTCGACTAATACCTAATAACAAAATTAATGTCCCTTTGTGTAGGTTTGGGCATGGGAGCATATCCCTCTTATTCGCCCAAAGGTGAAGAAAAGATTGTTTGATAAAGTGCCTGATTGTCTATTGGGAGCGAGGTAATCACTTTTATTTTTATTTAATCCGTACATCATTATCAAATTTTGTGATTACAAACTTTTTTTTTCTGTGATTTTTAAGGTGGGTGGGACCGAGATCTAGGTCAAACATAGCCACTACATCGGCCGCCTACCGGGATCAGTTTACAGGGCTGAGAGAGGATGAAGTAATGCTTTTAATTCAATTGTTTATTTTTTTTACAGTTCTTATTTTTATGTGATTTATCTTTGTTTTTTTTTTTATTTTGTAATAACTTAATTACTAATACACTTGTTATTTTTTTTCATTACAGTCGATTGGCAGCCATTTCAAAACGTCCTGAACAATGATTCTCTCCCAGATGCGTGCACAGACGATCGACAATTTTGGACATACCGGGAGTGGATCTTCAGTTGGAACACTCAGGAGGTACACCTGCCTGATAGGGTCCTCCGGTAATTTGGGTGTCGCTAATCCATCCCCCAAGATCCGATCATTTGGGATGAACGAGAGTGGGACGCACACCACAGAGGGCAGGGGATAACTGGGAGAGCATTTTATGATTGAGCCGCATTCCATGTACCTATTCTGAGCTCGTGGACCGTGATAGAGCCAATCGTCTCCTCGCAATTGCTCATGTGGACGATTATCTGCAGCCGGAGCAGAGTTACCTCGAATGGTTTCAATGTAGAACTCGTAGATTAATGAATAACCCTGCCAATTACCCGTCGTTCCAACAGGCGGGCGGGTATCAGCCACTTGCCGAGCGGTTAGGCTGTCAGGTTAGTGTTCATTATTTGTGTTTATTATTATTATTATTATTATTATTATTATTATTATTATTATTATTATTATTATTATTATTTTTTCTTGGTGTTTCATACTAATTATTATGAATTTTAATTATAGACTTCTACACTATACGAGTGATATGAGATATTATATACACAAGGCTAAACCGGTCTGCTTGGCCGGTTGAGAAGTCAAACCAAGAGGAAGCCAAGCCAAAAGGCGGGAAGATCGAACATTCAGATAATCGATCAGGCAGGTAGTCGACCAATCCACCGCTCGACCAGATAAATGATCGAGCAAAATATTCAACCTCATCAGGTCGATTGTCTCGAGGGTCCGACAGTCAGCCTAGTCACAGACGCGTGTGGGAACCTCTAACCGAATCTCAGGAGAATGTTTACCCCATGTGCAGGGGGACACGTGCCGAGAATACATTAGTGGATATCGATAACCACCTCTGACAGCTCCCAACGCCCTGCGCCACCTTTGACATGTGCCCGGCGTGTCAGAGTACTGGCGGGCAGCTTGGGCAGCCAGCTCATCCTTATTCGGGCAGCTATTAGGGCAGGTATCTCACCCTTATATAAAGGGGGTGAGCCTTTCTGCCTTAAGACATTCTATTCATTCTTCACTTCAGTATACCCATACACATACTGACTTAAGCATCGGAGGCTCTTCACCGGACACAACCCCCGGTGTGAGAGTTACTTGCAGGTTTTCGGCGTTCTACCGGCGAGGACAAAGATCGATCCGTTCCAAACTGGACCAGGACGCTCACACTTGCATTATTGGCGCCGTCTGTGGGGAGTTTTCGTTAAAAAGTTGTGTTTGAAGCTCAGCTATGGCGGACGGAATTCCCAAAAACTTGCAGTCAACGTTCGACGAAGCTTGGACGACGACCAGACCGATGGGGCAAGGCCCTCCTCCGGGTTTTTCCGGCCCATCGCAGACACCGATCACTCCAACACCTATCCTTCAAGGTGTGGGAGTGACGACGGTGATTCCCGGAAGAGATGCCAGCTCTAGTCGGGCCTAGGAGGCTCGCGCAGCAGCCGCGTCGGCGATGCCACCACCACCGCCACCAAATCCAACACTGGTGCAAGGAGGAGCGATGGCGCAAGGAGGAGCGCCACCACAGGCAGCTGTACAAGCCCCCAGTCAGCAAATGGTGACGATGACCCGGGAGAAGATGCAGAGGATTGCGGCGGCTGCGGCGGCGCATGCGGTGCAGCAAGTTACGAGCCACACATCTCATGCCACCACTGCGTCGACCACGGTGGCCGGAAACCAAGATGAGGATGTGTCCAGTTACGGAGAGGGAGGAGTTGGAAGAGATCGGGTAATGGAGAGGATGGCGGAGCAGTTGCGCCAGTTGCAGGACAAGGTGGAGGGGTGGCCAGAAAGGAGAGCTCGAGGACATCCCTTTTCGAGGGAGATTCTCGCTGCTCCTTTGCCGAATAATTTCAAGGAGGCCAACTTGGTGTATGACGGGTCTTCTGACCCGTTGAGGCATGTGAGGACCTTTGAGAATATGGCTGTGTTACATGGATATTCTGATTCTGTTTGTTGCAGGGCGTTCCTATCGACCTTGCGCGGAGGAGCCCTTGACTGGTTTCACCAGTTGCCCTTTGGGTCGATTGCGAATTTTGAGGATTTTGCCAGCAAGCTTACCAATCAATATTCAAGCGCGGTGGCGCATGAGAAACATACTTGACGTTGATGGCAATGAGGCAGGGGGAGAAAGAGTCATTGAGGAAGTATGTCGTTGGATATAACCAGACGTGTTTGGAGGTGCATTCGGCTTCAGATGAGGTGAAGGCGGGAGGATTGATAAGAAGTCTTCGAGCAGGGCCTTGCCGAACTTCCCTTGCAAAGACCCCTGCTCAATCGTATGAGGAGGTCTTGAAGCGTTGCAGGAAGTATATTAATTTGAAGGAAATGGAGGTAGAGTTCGCAAAGTTGGAAGGGTCGGCTCGACCAGAGCCGAAGAAGGAGCAAACCCCACCAAGAGGGAGGTCACCAAGGAGGAGTTCGGCCAAAAGAAGTGGGTCAAAAAAGACATCACCAAGGAGGGCAGGTCAGGATTCGAAGCGAGAGAAGAGGGACGATAGGTGGCAAGGAAGGCCATTGTTGTTCGAAAGATAGAGGTACCATAATTTTACACCCTTGAGGAAAGATTTGACAGAGGTGCTCGAGGCTATGGAGCAGAAGATGTCGACCGAGGATGTGACGTGGCCGAAGACAAGGTTCACAGGCCCGACTCGACCCAGATCGGATACATATTGTCGATTTCACCGAGATTACGGCTATACCACAGAGAACTGCAGACATTTGAAGGATGAGATTGAAAGGTTGATTCGAGCAGGACATTTGAAAGAGTTTGTGTACCATGATAGGGCGAGAGGGAAAGGAAGGAGAAGGTGCCGAGATGATTCTGAGGAAAGGAGTGATAGGGATGAAGAAGGAGACGACGGAGAGAGCCGAGGTGGTCGAGGAAAAAAGCCGAGAAGAGATGGAGATAAAGGGGGCCAGGGAGGAGAGGCCCCGACGAAAAGAGGAACGATTTACATGATTTCCGGAGGGCCAACGGATGGTGACTCGAATAGGGCCAGGAAGGAGCATGCTCGAGCTGCAAAGAGAAAAAAAGAGGAAGTGGGGATTACGGCTCGTATGCCGGTGATAAGTTTCAAGGCGGAGGATGTCGAGGGAGTGGTCCTACCGCACAACGATGCTTTGGTGATAACCGCGGAGGTTGCAGGCTTTGACGTGAAGAGGGTGTTTATTGATACCGGGAGTTCGGTAGACGTGATGTTCTACGATTGTTTTGTGCAAATTAACAAAGAGTTGAATATGGAGCTGAAGCCGGTGACCACGACACTTTATGGCTTCAATGGAGGAGAGGTGGTGCCGATGGGCGAGATAATTTTCCAGTGGCGTTGGGAGCGGGAGAGCTGAGGAAGGTGCGCATGGTGAGGCTTGTGGTCGTAGGAGCTGAATCATCTTATAACATCATTATGGGGCGGACGAGCTTGAATGCATTCGAGGCGGTCGTATCCACGTACCACATGACGATCAAGTATCCTGTGGGCGAAAACGTAGGGGAGATTGCCGGGGATCAACTCACTTCAAGGAGTTGCTATCAAACAACGGTGAGCAATAACAAGCAACTGGCAAAGAGGCAGACCAAGTCAAAGGAAGAGGAGGTTAATCGACCAGGTGGGTCGAAGTCGAAAGAGGATAAACAGAGAATGGAGAAGGGTAAGGTGAAGATGGATATCCAGCCAGGGGGGGGGGGAAGTGGAAGAAATTCAGATGATCGAGGGGTGTGAGGAGAGGAAGTTCAGAATCGGGAAGGACCTGGAGGAGCCTATTCGATCGAGGCTGGTCGATCTGGTTAGGGAGTTTGCTGACATTTTCGCCTATACAGCAGAAGAGTTGACGGGGATAAGTGCTGAGGTGATCGAGCATCGGCTGAACATCGACCTAAGTGTGAGGCCGGTGAAGCAGAAAAGAAGGCACCATGGGGCAGAGATGGACAAAATCATTGAGAAGGAGGTTGAGAAGCTATTAGGAGCAGGGCATATCAAGGAGATCCAGTTCCCCGAATGGTTGTCGAATACAGTGATGGTGTCGAAGGTAGAGGGAAAATGGAGGATGTGCATTGATTTCCGTGATCTGAACAAAGCATGCCCAAAGGACTTATACCCACTACCCAGAATCGACCAGCTGGTCGACTCAACGGCGGGGTGCAAACTGCTAAGCTTGATGGATGCCTCCCAGGGATATCACCAAATTCCCTTGGCGAGAGAGGACAGAAAGCGGGTGAGTTTTGTAATGAGTCGAGGAACCTATTGTTACGTGGTCATGCCATTCAGCCTAAAGAATGCGGGCGCCACATATCAAAGGTTGGTCGATAAAATCTTTAAGGAGCAACTGGGGAGGAACATGGAGGTGTATGTTGATGATATGTTGGTGAAAAGCAAGGAGGAGTTGGATCATGTGCGAGAATTGAAAGAGACGTTCTCAACATTGCGAAGGTATGGGATGAAATTGAATCCGGCCAAGTGCTCTTTCGGGGTGAGGTCGGGAAAATTCTTGGGTTACTTGGTGACCAAGAGAGGTATTGAAGTGAATCCAGAGAAAGTTCGAGCCGTAATAGAGATGAAGCCGCCGACGAATGTTAAGGAACTGCAGATCTTAGCTGGTCGAATTGCGGGGCTGAGTCGTTTCATATCGAAGGTGGCGGAGAAAAGTGGCCCACTATTCAAAACACTAAAGAAGAGCTCAAAATTTCAATGGACGGAGGAGGCGCAGAGGGCATTTGAGGAGTTGCGAGGGGTGCTGGCCAATCTTCCCTTATTGGCTAAACCTGTACAAAGCGAGGAGTTGGTGCTATACATTTCTATTGGAAAGAGGGCTGTGAGTTCGGTGTTATTGCGGGAGGAAGAGGTAGCGCAATTTACTATCTATTATGTGAGTAAGGTGATGCAGGGGGCAGAGATGAGGTATTCGGAGATCGAGAAGTGTGCTTTGGCTGTGGTGGTAACTGCTCGAAAGTTGAGACCTTATTTTTTGAACCATAAGGTGAAGGTGCAAACAAACATGCCGCTGGGAGAAGCACTTGGCCGACCATCGGTCTCTGGTCGATTGGTGAAATGGGCGGTCGAGTTGAGTGAATATTCTTTATTGTACGAGCCAAAAAGGGCCATCAAGGCGTAGGTGTTGGCCGATTTTATCCAGGAAGGCACGAAAGTTGAGGAGGAGTCAGGAGGAATATGGCAGTTATTTGTGGACGGATCTTGGCACGAAGCGGGGCAGGATTGGGAATTGTCCTTGTTTCTATTAAGGGCGATTACTTGGAATTTGCGGCTAAAGTGGGGTTCAAGATATCCAACAACGAGGCCGAGTATGAGGCAGTGATCAAAGGCTTAAGTTTAGCCAAAACGGGAGGAGCCCAAAAATTACAAGTGCATTCTGATTCTCAACTGGTGGTCGGGCAGTTTCAGGAAGGGTTTGAAGTTAAGGAGGACCGGATGCAAAAGTATGTGGATGAGATGAGGAAGTTGAAAGAGGAGTTTGATTCATTCGAGCTGATACAGATCCCTCGAGGAAAAAATGGTCGAGCGGACTTGTTATCGAAAATTGCTTAAAGCTTGGTGGATTGTAAAAGCAGAAGTGTCACCTTATTGCATCTCGAAAAGAGTGTGGTCGAGACGGAAGTATCGAAGATTGAGGAAGTGGAGGATTGGAGGGCCCCGATCCTGGAGGAGCTGAAAGGAGGAACGATAAAGGCGATGAGGAGATTTTTTGAACATGGAGGCATTCTTTACAAACAGTCGTATGCGGGACCGCTTTTGCGCTGTGTTACTAAGGAGGAAGGTCGATATGTGCTGAGAGAGATGCACGAAGGATGCTGTAGTGATCATAGTAAGTCAGGGGCCTTGGTCGCAAAGATTTTGAGGGCAGGATATTTCTGGCCGACGATGATGGAGGATGCGAAGGGGATGGTGAAGAAATGCTTACAATGCCAAAAGCATGGCCCCTTTATTCACCAGGCGGCAGAAGCGATGACGACGATGAGTGCCCCTATACCATTCGCCCAATGGGGTATCGACCTGGTGGGGCCGATGCCTCAGGGAACCGGGCAGAGGAAGTTCTTGATAGTGGCGGTTGATTATTTCACAAAGTGGGTGGAGGCCGAGCCCTTGGCGAAGATCACCGAGGAGAAAGTAATTAAATTTCTATACAACAACATTTGCTACCGGTTTTGCGTGCCCAAAGTGTTAATTTCCGATAATGGTACTCAGTTCAATGGCAATTGGATTCGAGCATGGTGTGAAACATGAAAATCGAGCAACACTTTGCCTCCGTTGCTCATCCGCAAGCCAATGGCCAGGTCGAAGTAACCAACCGAATTATATTGAATGGGCTGAAAACAAAGCTGGAAAAGGCCTCGGGAGCATGTGTTGATGAGTTGAGCACGGTACTTTAGGCGTATTGCACAACCCCGAGGTCGACAACAGGAGAAACCCCTTTCAGTTTAGCTTATGGAATGGAAGCGTTGCTGCCGATCGAGGTCGAGCTATCATCCCAGAGGTCGAGCACATATAATACTGAGCAGAACGAGGATCTAATGATGGCAGCCCTGGATACTATTGAGGAGCTGCGTGGAAGAGCAGCAATCCGGGTGGAGCCGTACAAGCAGAGGATGCGAGCCGCTCATGACAAAAAGGTGAAAATTCGTAGACTCCAAGTAGGCGACCTGGTTTAGAAACGCGTCGATGTTCTCAAGCATGTGGGAAAGTTGGAGCCGAACTGGGAAGGGCCATACCTGGTCGAGCGAGTGCACGCGGGAGGAGCGTACTCGTTGAAGGATGCTGAAGGCCGATCACTTGCCAGGTCATGGAACATAGCTAATTTGAAAAAATATTATGTGTGAAATTTTTTTGTTTTTTTAAGAAAGCTGGGAAATTCGAACAAAGATGTAAATTGCAAAGTTTGCTCAAAAGTCAATGAAGTTCAGTGATTCTTCTGATTTTACTCCCTTTATTGCACATTTTCTTATGCCTGGAATGTTGGTATAATTTGGATGACAAGATGTATGTGGTGTGGTTTGACTTGGAAGTCACTTGTTTAGAACATCCGTTGGGGTGGGCAGGTTGGTCGAAGACCTCCTGTTTAGAACATTCCTCGCAGGTGGGCAAGTGTGAAGACCAAAACCCACCATGACTAAGGCCCTCGGGCTGGGTGGTCACTTGTTTAGAACATCCCTTGGGGTGGGCACGTTGGTCTAAGACCTCCTGTTTGGAACATTCCTCGCGGGTGGGCAAGTGTGAAGACCAAAACCCACCATGACTAAGGCCCTCGGGCTGGGTGGTCACTTGTTTAGAACAACTGAAGTCACGTCGTGACATAAGTCACATCTGAACTGAACATCTCCCGGCAAAAC